GTGACAGGACAGAGGGAGATTCATAAAATACTTGGCTTCTTTTAATAATCCATCTGTAGCTCCTTGGAAGATGGGCTTAATTGTACCATATAGTTTACTTATTGGAAGGCATAGCAGCTGCCCAGTTGCATGTCAAATTTAGTCTCATGTCACTAACAACTCAAAAAGATTTCCTCTAGTTTAAACGACTGTGYATGTGAAATAGGAATCTTTCTCTTCTTTTCAAGGATCTGATATATATTTCTGCAGAAGTGAACTTTGTCAAAGTCAGGAATTCAGAAATCCCTTTCAAGGCTGCTGAGTCTATATCAGCACGCGTGGGCTGACATTAGGAAACATCCACATTTAATCATTTGAAAAATTAAAAAAGCAGTTATAATCAAAGTTGTGTCTATGTCCAAAACTGTCAGGAATTTAGCTTACAGTAATTCTTCTTCTTCTTCTCACAGGGTCACTATATAACCAGTGGTTAAATTACAAGTTTCCCAGTTGATTAGGATGAGAAAACTTGGCAAAGACAAGGACTATTTCTCCTTCTACAATCCTCATCAAATAAGGGGCATACAACAAATTGCTCATCTCTGATCTGCAATTCTCCCCTCCACCCAGCTGTAAATCTGAATTAATTAATAAACGCCCTTATGCTTTCAAGGTCATGGAAAATGAAAGGCACTCAGCAAAATGGATGCACTGCCAGTAAAGGCTTTTTTTTTTTTTTTTTTTTTTTAATGTAAATGGAAATTTTGTAAGACAGAGGCTCTTTCATCTGTGCCATGAGGGCTGATGTTAGAATACTTAAAAGAAAATCAATGTAAATAGATCATGTTTTGAATAAACGTGACCTTTCCTAGAGAAATCAAGGCTTTAGGTAAGAGAGTCAAAATATGTAAGGCCAAAGTCGCTATTCAGTCAAGGGTCAAGAAAAATTACAATGTCTTTTGTTAGTCCCTGTTCACAGAATAGAGCTCCGTTTCCTGCTGACRCTATCCAGAAAGAACCGATATTCGACACCTTCACATCCTGTCTGGCAGCCAAAGCAACCTCACGAAGATATATTTTTTTGAGTTTTTTGCAGCTACTTTCCCCCACCTCTTCAAAGCTTCTGACTCAATATGAAACTAGCAAGTCTCGTGACAGTTAATAACTTCTGAAAAGAAAGGAACATTGAAGAATTCATTGAAAAAAAGTGTTTTCACTTATAAGTGAAAGGAGTAGCAACTTCTTCTAAAAGAAAATTCTAGAAAAGCTCAAGGCAGAAAGAATCCCTTAACTCCTGCAGTGCTTAAATGGAGGTCTCTCAATCAATTCCTAATCTCAATATGGCTATCACAGAGACAAGACCAATTATGAAGTACATCTGTAAGACACTATTTGAGCCTGATGTCTAATATGAGTCATTAGGCTTCACTTCTGCCCTTATGACACTGCTTGAAGTACAGCCATTCAGAAAAGCAACTATTTTTTGGCCTCTGAAACAGGATAAAAACTATAAATAAAATTCAGTGATTTAAGTGCAACTGCTGGAAAAATGTCCCTTTTAACAGGCGCACCAAGGAATCTTCCGACACTCTTCACGAGAGAGTCCATCTCACAACAGGTCACAGCACCATATGCTCCTTGCCTCCAAATCCCGGGGTATAAAAACTCCTTTAAGTTCATCTTCCTCAACACTGATGTATCTCACAACAATATTTTTGGGGGTGCATGCTATGCAATTGCATTGTAATGCATGCAGTAATCTATGCGATTGCTATGCATAGATGCTATGCAATATATCTGCTATCCAATAATCAAACACTGAGATGTTATAAAACTGAGACTACATAGATTATTACATATATCAACTTATAACTGCTGTTTGGATTTTGTTGTTGTTGTTGTACTATCTATTTTCTCCTGCTGGAAAGTGACAAGTATATTGTTAGCTAATTGAAAGATAACACCCAGACACATAAGTACAAAACCAATATCTTGACAAAAAAATCTCCAAAAACAAAACAACCTCCCCCCAAAACCGTCACCACCCCTCCTCCCAAACCAGCCTTTACCATTTGAAAGAACAAGAGAAATAAGAAGTATATGTGTGACTTTCATAAGAAATGTCACACACTGATTTGACAAAAGAGGGAAGGAAGCCTCATCTGTTCATGAGAATCTGTCTTTTTAAGACTCTATGTAACTTAAAAATTTCCTACTCTTGCTGCAAAATATAGAAATACTGCTTTTGTCTTCACCCCTGTTTCTCTTTCTAAAACTTTGGAGACGGTCATTTTAGAAGACGACTGGATTGTTTTGTCAGTTTTTAATACTACTGCCTTTTCCAGAGCAAACATAAAATTGCTTAGCTTGACAGATACCATGTACCTAATAAGGATTTTCTTCTAACTTAGTGATAGGATTATGATTTTTTTGCAGCGCTAGAATTGACTTTTGCCATCACTGTCTGCGAAGTTTCAAGGAAATCTGAAGTGTTTCACAACAACAATGGTTGTCCTTGCCACATATGAGACATTTGCTATCTCATCTTTGATGGGACCTGTTTTAATTTCTCAGGCTCATTTGACAGGGGAGGGAGGAGAAAACCAAAAAACAAAAAAACAATCCCAACTTCCTGCAGCTTTACCCTCTGACCACAAAACTGATGAAGTAATTTCCCAAGGAACACGAAATCAGTAATAGCTTCAGGATCAGTCTTAAGGAAACACTCTTTTTCCCATTTCCAATCTTACTTTGTAATGTTTAAATAATATTTTTTTAAAGTGATACTCCTGTAGTTTACTCATATCATAAACTGGAGGCAAAGTAGTATTTCCCACTCAAGCAAAACCTAAGATGAGAAAATTAACAGCACTAGAATCTTGTTTAAGGCTCAGCACCTGAGTTAAATGTGACTGCAATACCTTCTTGTAAGGAAAGCAAGACACACTGCAAGTAATGAGGTTGAACTGCACTGCCTCAGCCTCAGGTCTACRGTAACAGCAGATATTGTATATCTGGCCGAGTTTGTATAGCCTTTTGCACGCTGTAACTAGCTTTACGTCCTGCCARTAGTTTCTTTCTCTCATTGGCCATTTCAAAATAGTTGGTTTGTTTGTTTTTAAGGATTTGATGGGAGGATGAAATGGTGTTGAYGTACTTCTCCTGCTTTGGTTAAAAGCTTGAGCTTTTGTTTTCCTCCTACAGCAGCATGCTTGTTAGAAATCATTTTTGCAAAACTTGATACTAGATGTTGCAAAGAAACAATTTTCCATAACAAATTAGAGGGAAAATATGCTAAAGATATATACTCAAAATCTCTTTCTCTGACATTTATGTTACCTTCTTTTATGGTTTCCAAAGAAGTCTCTAAGTTTACAGGCAAGTTCTGAGTTCCTCTTAGGGAAGTGGCAATTAGAAAAAATCAACCGGTGTCGAGGACGCCCACTCTGTATCTCCTGTTTCAACATTGATTTTTCTCAACAATTTTGTCAAAATATTTAATTATTTTCTGCCTGCTTCCTTATTAGCAAAAATCTGTTGGTTCCCCCCTACACCCACCTCCCCTTTTGGAAAAACTCTGAAGTTGCTTATTATGGAAAAGGTTCACCAAATAGMTAACCTGACTTTTAAGCTTGTAGCATTAGATGAAAAACGAGATGGCCATGTAATAAAAAGCATGAATCAGCATACAGGAATGGTTCAATCTGTTAGAAAATAACTAAGGGCTCAATCCTGCACCTAGAAACTTTGTATCATGAGAGGTGGTAGTTCCTCATAGGATCTGTATCGGCTGCATTAAGGACAAACCACRAAGGTGATGAAAAGCAAAAAATGTTGGCATAAATTTTGCTGTTTTGCCTAATTTACAAGTGTGACTGTTTAGCCAAGCCTCTTCTTGATGAAATACATGCTGCTGGTGACAAGCAACACTCAGACCTGGGATCAATGCTAATGGCACCGCAGGTTCAAGTTTGCAAATGACAGGAGTGGTTTAACAGGGGCTGATGGTCACCAGGCATCCGTAAGTCAGTTTGAATTAGCACAAACCCTCATTCACATCTTTGTGAACAACCAGAGGCTCTTTCATACTCACTTCAGTGATCCTGGCTAGCTAATGCATGTGCTTTTATTGCTAATGAGCCAAGGCACATACTATTAATGGAATACATAACTGCAGCCTTATTATGACTCATCTCACCATCACTCTTTTTCTAGAGAAAATGTAGGTTGCTCTGAAGATTATATAATAGTAATAAGAGAAGAAGCAAAGCAGGGAGCAAAGAGTGTGATTTCTGTTATCCAGCTACGCAAGCCTGGCTAATGACAGGCAACACATCAGAGGGATTTAAAAAAAATTTTTTTTTAATTGAACTTACAACCCATTCAGATTTCCCAAAGTGCTTTCCAGTCACTATCCAGAAGAGATTACAAAACAACAGAGCACTGAAGGAAACACAACACCTTGCCGCCCCAAGAGCTGAAAGGGCACCCTGGGACTTAGGGGAGCTTTTCTRCAGGATATAGAGCTATTTCACCTGGGCAGAGATGCTGAGGGTGTGCAGACATTTACATCGCCACCAGCTTTTTCGGGCGTTTCAGCAAGCTGGGTACCACAGACGGCTCCTCCAACACACAGCCCTGAGCGCACTTCCTCAGCACCACGAAATGGCGTAATGCCTGCCTCTCGGTCCGCCTTTCCTGCCCCGTCCGCACCCTCCAGCACCACCGTGAGAMGGCAGGAGGAGGACGCAGGAGCTGCGGTGCCTTGGGGCAGGAGCAGCCTCGAAGGGAAGCGCCGCGGCCAAGCGCAGCCCCACACGCTGCTGAGGCGAAAAACGGCTGCGTCACGGCCGCCGCCTGAGGAGAAAGGGCGGGAGCCCGAGCGCGCAGCCACATCTCGCGCGCTGATTGGTGGGCACCTCCCTTCGCGCTCATTCTGTTGCCGCCGATTGGCTCACCCTTCCCGCCCTAACTTTGATTGACAGCTCCCCGTGAGGCAGCGTTGTCGCCTCAACGCTGCGATGGCGGCGGGCGCGAGGTGTTGGGGCCGCGGTTCGGAACCGGGGCATCYGTGTGCCCGTGATAACAGCCAGACAGGCGGCAGTGACACCACTTCGCTCCTTGGCGGCGCCACAACGTGGCCCYTGAAGCGCTACGGCCGCTTCTTACCCCCATCGGACATGGACGACGAGGAGCAAACAGGCACCTCATGGAAGGTGGGGGCAGGCGAGCGGTCGCTTCCCCACGGCTGTCCCTCCCCGTGGTGGCACCTGCCCATCCAGATGAGTTTTCCCCTTTTCGTGCCATGAAGTGGCGCGTGGGTGTGAAGCCGGGCAGAGTCCCTGCCGTGGGAGGGCCCTGTGCTGGGAGGAGCTGAGGAGGGCCCCCTGCCTTAGTGCAAACCCCAACGGGCTGCACATGCTTTTTAAATAAATCCTGGCTGCCCAGCGTTGTTTGTTCTCCCATGCCCGTTAGATTGCCTTGTGCAACATATAGGCTCTTAGTGCACCGTATTTTGGGATTGCTGGTGGGTTTCTAGCTGTCACCCACGCTTTAAAGCACTAGCTACAATAAAGCTGGATGTGAAACAATGTAGATAAGTCTATGTAGAATAATCTGGGGAAATACCAGGCTTCTTCCGAACTAGCTTGCGTAGAGAAGACTGGGCTATCTCTGTGCTGGAGTTCAGCCTGCAAATATGAAATTAATGCAGGAGTCGAGGGAGATTCTGCTTCGTGAATTACTAACAACAATTTCAATTAGTAGCGGCCCATTTTCTTCCTCCTTTAGGAGTGACTTGTATTAAAAATGGCTGAAATCTATAGCTTAAGTTGGAAGAGTACATATGGTTGCTTAGATTTAAGAAGCTAAATTCATATATGGAGTTGTAATTTATAAGAACTGCTTGAATGTGTCTGCTTTATGTTTGTTGGAGGGCAATTTGCYGTTCTGAGAAGTAATTCTATATGTCTGATTTCAGGCACCTCCATTTAAAACACTTTGGTTTACACCAGAAACAGACTGTGTGGATTCTGCACATTATAAATGTGCATTTATAAGGGTATATATACATATGGCTTTTTTTTTTTTAAACTTTCTTTTTAAAGGTTTTTGAGTCAAATGAAGAATCAGGCCATCTTGTTGTTACCATTGTCGTATCTGGACATTTCTTTATTTCACAAAGACGAGCAGTATTGGTAAGTTTTTTTTCTTCATATGTAAAGAACATTTCTCCATGCATGTTAGTATCAGTCTTGACTCCTTTTCCCTTTTTAGCTTCATATTCTCTCCTGCGAAAGGAAGCTGCCAGTTTTATTTTGCTCATGGAAAACTTCATGTGCTGTTTTTTCTCTATGTTCTCTATGCTTATCAGAATATTTCATACTGAAGTACAGTGTTTCTTCTATGGTTCTAAAAATGTAGGGTAAGATTGGTGCTGCTTTTTTCTTCATGATTCTTCCATCTCAGCAAAGAGAGCAAATGCCTTGTTAATAAGTAGGTAAAAATACAACTATAATGTAAAAATTTATTGCAAGATTCACTGTATAATCCAACTAGTATTTCCCCAATAACCTGTTGGTATTATATATCTATAATTTGGCTTATCTTTTTTTGTTT